ATTTTGCATATAAACTAGAGATTAAATAGACATTAATTTTTAATTATATTATGCTTAATCTATTAGAGAATTTCTTTATTTATTGTGACGCCCCTAGAGCGTGAGGTGTATATTTCAAGATAGTGCGAGTCCTCAGATGGAAGCACTGGTTGAATTACATGACAACATTATGTTTTACTTAGTTATTATACTTTTTGGTGTAGGTTGAATATTACTATCTGTAATTAGAAATTATGTATACAGCAAATCTCCTATAAGTAATAAATACCTTAATCACGGTACACTTATAGAATTAATTTGAACTATTACACCTGCATTTATATTAATATTAATCGCATTCCCTTCATTCAAATTATTATATTTAATGGATGAAGTTACTGACCCATCTTTAACTGTATTTGTAGAAGGTCATCAATGATATTGAAGTTACCAATACCCAGATTTCTTAAGCGAGGATGAAGAAGAATTAGAATTTGATTCTTATCTAGTTCCTGAATCAGATCTGGAAGACGGAGCTTTAAGAAATTTAGAAGTGGATAACAGGGTTATATTACCTGAACTTACACATGTGAGATTTATTATTTCTTCTGGTGACGTAATACACTCATATGCCTGCCCAGCTTTAGGGATTAAATGTGATGCCTACCCGGGTAGATTAAATCAAGTGTCTGTTCTTATTAATAGAGAAGGAACATTCTTTGGACAATGTTCAGAAATCTGTGGTATTTTACATAGTTCTATGCCTATAGTTATCCAGTCAATTTCCCTAGAAAAATTCTTAACTTGATTACAAGAACAGTAATCCTAAAAGAGAATATATACTTTTTAGATTTAATAGCATATTATAGATTAAAAGGAATTGTTGCAATAGTATTTTATGAATTTAACTTTAGAAGAACACAAACAGCTCGGACTGTTTCGAGATACTGCTTAAGACTAAGAATGTACGTTGACCAGATGTTATTATATTTAGATATGCATAATATAATATTGTTTATAGACGCAAATGGGTCTCTTTTTGCAGAAATACCTCCAGATTCTAGAGTAAACATGGAAAATGCCCATATTTAGATTGAATCTTTAGATAGGAGTATTAATATTTGATCAGAAATGCTAAGGGACGCATATAATGAGTTAGTTAACTTAGATATAGAGTTAGTCCGTTTTGGGGTTAGGGTAGCTGACACAACATCAGTGCATTCTAACTTCAGACGAGCTAGAGATGCCCATAGTAGATACACGTCTAGACTTAGATTGGAATAATTTAGGTCTTATATTACCTTTGCCCTGTAAACCTTTAAAGTAATTATTTATATATTAATACTAATAATAGTATAAAATTTGCTTTTTGCTATCGCTTTTTAATAAAAAAATATAAAATAAAAGGTTAATAACAATAACTCTAGAATAATAATAACTCTATAATATTTAGAGGTGTATTTCATATATATTTATATAAGCTAGCTTGTTATTTTAACTCTAAAATATTAGTAGTTTTAAATATAAGAGTTTAGAGTTTTTTGCTCTTACCTTTGTAGGAGCTCTGTCTATATTATTTTTTTATCTTTTGATTAATATATCATAGAGATAAAACTTCCAAAGTACTATTGCATAAGTCATTCTGTGTTTTGCTAAAGCCTTTTTTACTTAAGGCTATTTTTTGCTTTATATGTTGAATTTTATTCAAATGTGGAATAATATTAGCACCAGTATATGCAGATAGCGATAGTTAATTAGAAGAGTTAGCCAAAAAGGACAAAGGGAAAGGTAGAGCTATTGAAGCTGAAAATCCTTCATCAGAACAGGGATTATATCCTAAGAGTTTAAGTGATGAAAAAAAGCCCAAATAGAGTATGATTTAGAGTATGCTAAGATGTTACAGGAACGTTAATATACAATATATGATGAAGCTAAATCATATCAACCTATACAAGATGTATATGCTTATTCTGATAGTTCTTAGAGTGTTATTCTTATAGTTCTTATACTATTATTCACACGGATTCATATTCAGATGATAGCGAAAAACTCAAAACAATAGAATTTATTCCTCTTTCTAATACTTTTATCTACAGCTATTTCTTTAGCTACTAGTATTTAAATCTTATTTATTTTTACTCTAAAAGCTTAAACTTTTTACTTTAAAAGCTTAGGCATTTTAACTTTAAGAGCTTAGAATTTTTAACTCTAAATTTTTAGTCATTTTTATATACAAATTTTTGAAATATGAATTTTTCAATCTTTTTATTCTTAATAGGGATATTAGGTTTTGTGTTAAATAGAAAAAACATCATACTAATGTTAATTTCAATAGAAATTATGTTATTATCTATAACATTTTTAATATTAATAAGTTCACTTAGTTTTGATGATATATTAGGACAAACATTTGCTATATATATTATAACAATAGCAGGAGCAGAATCTGCAATAGGTTTAGGAATTTTAGTAGCATATTATAGATTAAGAGGAAGTATATCAATACAATATAAATAATGTATTTAACATTGATAATTTTACCTTTATTAGGATCAATAGTATCTGGGTTTTTGGTAGAAAGGTTGGAGTAAGAGGAGCACAATTAATAACATGTTTATCCGTAATAATAACAACAACTTGTGCAATACTGGCTTTTTTGAAGTAGGTTTAAACAACATTCCAGTGACAATTCATTTGTTCAGATGAATTGATTCTGAATCATTAAATATATCTTGAGGTTTCAATTTTGATAGTTTAACTGTATCTATGTTGATACCTGTATTAATAGTATCTAGTTTAGTACACGTATATTCTATAAGTTACATGAGTCATGATCCACATAATCAAAGATTTTTCAGTTATTTAAGTTTATTCACTTTTATGATGATTATACTTGTAACAGGAAATAATTATTTAATAATGTTTGTAGGTTGAGAAGGTGTAGGTGTTTGTTCATATCTTTTAGTAAATTTTTGATTTACTAGAATAGCAGCAAATCAAAGTTCTTTATCTGCATTATTAACTAATAGAGTAGGTGATTGTTTATTAACTGTAGGTATGTTTGCAATATTATGATCTTTTGGAAATATAGATTATAGTACAGTATTTGCATTAGCACCTTATTATAATGAAACAATAATTACAATTATTGGTATTTGTTTATTAATAGGTGCTACAGCTAAAAGTTCACAGGTTGGTTTACATATTTGATTACCACAAGCTATGGAAGGTCCAACACCTGTGTCTGCTTTAATACACGCCGCTACTATGGTTACAGCAGGAGTATATTTATTAATGAGATCATCACCTTTAATAGAATATAGTTCAACAGTATTAGTACTTTGTTTATGATTAGGTGCTATAACTACAGTATTCAGTTCTTTAATTGGTTTATTCCAACAAGATATTAAAAAAGTTATTGCTTATTCAACTATGAGTCAATTAGGTATGATGGTAATAGCTGTTGGTTTATCAAGTTATAACTTAGCTTTATTCCATTTAGTAAATCATGCTTTCTATAAAGCGTTATTATTCTTAGGTGCTGGTTCAGTTATACATGCAGTAGCAGATAACCAAGATTTTAGAAAATATGGAGGTTTAAGAGAATTCTTACCTTTAACATATTCAGTTATGTTAATAGCTTCATTAAGTTTAGTAGCTGTACCTTTTATGACAGGATTCTATTCTAAAGATTTTATCCTTGAGTCTGCATATGGACAATATTATCTATCAAGTACTATAGTTTATTTTGTAGCTACAATAGGTGCTATGTTTACTACACTTTATTCAGCTAAAGTATTATATCTAACTTTCTTAGCTAATCCTAATGGTCCTTTAGTAAATTATAAACATGCTCATGAAGGTGACTTGTTTATGACTATACCATTAATTATTTTAGCTATTTTCTCAATATTCTTTGGATATTTAACTAAAGATATTTTTATAGGATTAGGAACTGGTTTCTTTACAGATAATAGTTTATTTATTCATCCTAGTCATGAAATAATGTTAGATACAGAATTTGCTGTACCTACATTCTTTAAATTATTACCATTTGTATTTACTGTATCATTAAGTATACTTTCTGTATTATTATCAGAATTCTTACCTAAATTACTTATTAATTTTAAATTCTCAAGATTAGGTTATAATATCTTTAGTTTCTTTAATCAACGTTTCTTAATTGAACTATTCTACAATAGATATATTACAGATCTGGTTTTAAAATTAGGGGTCAAACAACTAAGGTTATTGACAAAGGTTCTGTAGAATTAATAGGACCTTATGGTTTAGAAAAAGGATTGGTTAATTTAAGTAGAAATATTGCAAGTTTAGATACTGGTGTTATTACATCATATGCCTTATATATATTAATAGGTTTAATATTTTACATACTAACACCTTACTTAGCTATGACGGATAATAATTTATTTATTATAATAATATTTGCTTTATTAACTACAATTAAAAGCATAAAAATATAAAATGAGCTAATTTTAAGATAAAAATTTTTTATATCTCTTTAAACCTAGAGTTTTGCATGTGAAAGTCGTCTTTACACTAGAAGTTTAGCCTGGCTAATCTTAATTTTATTTTAGTATTATATTTGGATTCAAAAACAATCCAAATATTACTTTAGTATTATATTCAAATTTAAAAATAATTCAAATATTACTTTAGTATTATATTCAAATTTAAAAATAATCCAAATATTAATGTTTACATACTAAAGGTGAATGCAAAAATTATAAAAATAAAATAATCTAAAATAAAATACATTAGTGATGTGTTTTATAAAAAGATTGGAAAAAGTTATCTCACCCTTGCAAGCGTTTTTTAGAAAAAAACGTTAAAATTATAAGAATTATTATTGCCTTTACAATAATCTTTAACCTCTTTGATGTAAGATATATTGATATAATATTGTATACGTTAAAGTCCTTTAACGTATAGTGGTTTAATACCTTTGTAGGGGTATTGCCTTAAATATTTTCCATATTTAATTAATTATATGTTAATAAGACCCACTAGTCAAGTGGTTAAGACATAACGCTTTCACCGTTACATCTCGGGTTCGATCCCCGAGTGGGTTATTAATCTTATTTTGTAATATTATATATTTTGTATAGATTTATAGATTTCATATTTTTAAGATATGATAAAAATTATAATAGTAATTTATACAAATATATATTTTTATTTGGTCGGAGTATAAATTACGATACAATTCTATAATGTACGATACATTTGTACCGAGGATAATGGAGCTATACACGGTATAACCCGGGTAAAAGAAATAAAGATTCGGAAGTCGTATACTGCAAAACCTGGATGGTTTTGCACCAAAGGATATAGTTTAATTGGTAGAACGTCGATTTTGCACATCGTTATTTTAGGTTCGAGTCCTAATCTCTCCAAAAAATTATGGTTTTAATTTTTAATAAATTTAAGCTCGAGAAGCTCAACCTGGTAGAGCGGAACTCTGAAGATGTTTAGGCTATAAGTTCAAATCTTATCTCGAGCAGTAAATATAATTTAATATAATTAATATGGCGCAAAAGCGATCGCTTTTGCGTATAAAAGGTAATGATGGAATTGGTAGACATGAATAGCTTAGGACTATTTGATATTTAAATCTTATCCGTTCAAGTCGGATTTACCTTAGTGTTATTTATTACATATGTTGTCGACTAATCGGTAAGTCATAAATTTTTGGTATTTACTATTGGGTGTTCGAATCACTCCAACATAACATTATATAATTTACAATAAAAGGTGGATATAGTTCAATAGGTAGAACAACTGTATGTGGCACAGTAAGTTCCCTGTTCGATTCAGGGTATCCTCCCATAAATATTAATTTTGTGCTAATATGTATCATTTTTTATAAAATATTAAATAAAATAAAACGCCCGAGTAGTTCAACAGGTTAGAACGTTAATTTCATGAATTAAGAATGAGAATTCGATTTTCTCCTTTGGCTCATGCCGAAAAGCACATTAAATAATTTACATTTCAAAAGCTGGAAAATTATATATTCAGAGACAAATTAAAAAAAAGCCAAATTTTACCACTCTGCTTCTAATAATATTATAATATACGATGACGCACTAAACAATAAGAAAAGGATATTACAAGATAATAAAGAAAAATGCGGAATCTAGAAGTGAGTTAATAAAATAAACGGTAAAAGTTATGTAGGAAGCTCTGTTAACTTAAGCTCCAGGCTGTCTAATTATTTCTTTTTAAATTACTTAGTTAAAAGAACCTCATAACATAGTAGTAAAATTTATAATGCTCTGTTGGTTCACGGGCACGAAAATTTCCGTCTGGAGATACTGGAGTACTGTGATAAATATCATACGATTAAAAGAGAGCATTTTTAGATTAATTCTTTTAAACCTGAGTATAACATATTAACTAAAGCAGGATCTAGTTTAGGTTTCAAACATTCTGATGAAACACTCTTTAAATTTAAATCACGTAAGTTAAGCAATGAAGCTTTGTCTAACTTAAGAAAAGCAAAAGTAGGTGCGGTTTTATCTTCTTTAGCTAAAGCCAATCAATTACTATCTACATCTCATACTATTATCATAAAAAATATTGAAAACAATGATACAAAAGAATACAGTTCTATTCGCAATACTGCAAGACTACTAAAAGTAAATCATGCTACTTTGTTAAATTACATAGATAAAAATAAGTTGTTTAAAGGTAAATACATAATAAAAAAAAAGAAATTAGCTCAATTGGTAGAGCAACCGTTTTACACACGAGAGGTTAGGTGTTCAAATCACCTATTTCTTACATGTTATTAACTTTATTATCTTATTTACTACTTTCAAATGCTCTAACTTTTAGAAAAAACAAATCTATTTTATTTTAAAACCTTACTATAATGTCTTAAGTGTAGCAGGATCTAGCTTAGGATTTAAGCATAGTGAGGCTACTAAAGAACTTTTCCGTAAAACTCGTTTAGGTATTAAAAAAGCTAGATCACTAAATAAAAAAGTGTATCCAAATTTTCTGTGATAACTAACTTAAGATAAAAAGTCCAGCTTAGTAAATAGTATAGGTCATAGATTAGACTTAGGTAGAAGATTTATGGAATATTATAGCTATAGTCGGATATCTAATGAAAACCGTTAATTTCCTATACATAATGCTCTTTTAAATTATGGTTATTCTGATTTCAAACTAGAAATATTTGACTTCTGTGACCACTCATTTAAGATAAAAAGTCCAGCTTAGTAAATTGGACTTTTTAGTAAACAAAATACAATTATAGAACTCTATGTTTATGATACATGTCCTGTTATATGGCTCTTAGCCATATAACATTATATAGCGTTATTTTTTTTAGAAAAAGATTCGTATAGTAAACATACATATATTTAATAAATATGAATAATAATTTTAAATTTGAAAATTTTAAACAAGTTTCACAACAAAGAGAATCGATAGTATATTTAGAACAACAACAAATAGAATCGATTGAAAATTTAGAAGAAGTTTCACAACAAAAAGAATCTATTAAAAAGAATCTTTCAGACATATCATTGTGACTAGAAAGATGATATTTATCATCTAATGCTAAAGACATTGGTACTTTATACTTAATCTTTGCATTATTCTCAGGTTTATTGGGTACAGCATTTTCTGTACTTATAAGATTAGAATTATCAGGACCAGGTGTTCAATATATTTCAGATAACCAATTATACAATAGTATAATAACAGCTCACGCTATTATGATGATTTTCTTCATGGTTATGCCTGCTTTAATTGGAGGTTTTGGTAATTTCTTATTACCTTTATTAGTAGGAGGTCCAGATATGGCATTCCCTAGACTTAATAATATAAGTTTCTGATTATTACCACCAAGTTTAATTTTATTCTTATTTGCAAGTGGTATAGAAAATGGAGCAGGTACAGGTTGAACACTTTACCCTCCACTATCAGGTATACAAAGTCACAGTGGACCTAGTGTGGATTTAGCTATTTTTGCTCTTCACTTATCAGGAATAAGTAGTTTATTAGGTGCAATGAATTTCATTACAACTATTTTAAATATGAGAAGTCCAGGTATACGTTTACATAAATTAGCTTTATTTGGTTGAGCTGTAATAATAACAGCTGTGTTATTATTATTATCATTACCTGTATTAGCTGGTGGTATTACTATGGTTTTAACTGATAGAAACTTTAACACTTCATTCTTTGAAGTAGCTGGAGGTGGTGATCCTATTTTATTCCAACATCTTTTCTGATTCTTCGGACATCCTGAAGTTTATATCTTAATTATACCAGGATTTGGTATTATTAGTACAGTTATTGCAGCGGGATCTGGTAAAAATGTATTTGGTTACTTAGGTATGGTTTATGCTATGATGTCTATTGGTGTTTTAGGTTTCTTAGTTTGAAGTCATCACATGTATACAGTTGGTTTAGATGTTGATACAAGAGCTTATTTCACAGCTGCTACTTTAATTATTGCAGTACCTACTGGAATTAAAATATTCAGTTGATTAGCTACATGTTATGGTGGTTCATTACACTTAACACCTCCTATGTTATTTGCATTAGGATTTGTTGTATTATTCACTATTGGTGGATTGAGTGGTGTTGTTTTAGCTAATGCATCACTTGATGTTGCTTTCCATGATACTTACTATGTTGTTGCTCATTTCCATTATGTTTTATCTATGGGTGCTGTGTTTGCATTATTTAGTGGTTGATACTTCTGAATACCTAAATTATTAGGTTTATCTTATGATCACTTCGCAGCTAAAGTACACTTCTGAATCTTATTTGTAGGTGTTAATTTAACATTCTTCCCACAACACTTCTTAGGTTTACAAGGTATGCCTAGAAGAATTAGTGATTATCCTGATGCTTTTGCGGGATGAAACTTAGTAAGTAGTTTTGGATCAACAATATCTGTGATAGCTACAGTAGTGTTCTTACAGTTATTATACGTACAATTAGTTGAAGGTAAACCTGTATCTAGATACCCATGATTAACACCTCAATTCTATACAGATTTATTACAAAGTTTATTAAATAGAGCATATACTAGTTTAGAGTGATGTTTAAACAGTCCACCTAAACCTCACGCATTTGTAAGTTTACCATTACAAAGTTAATGGCAACTTCTTTGGCCAATGTTCAGAAATTTGTGGTATTTTACATAGTGCAATGCCTATAGTTATCCAGTCAATTTCCCTAGAAAAATTTTTAACTTGATTACAAGAACAGTAATCCTAAAAGAGAAAAAGGCAAAATTTAAAATAAATAAAATAAAAAAAACTCCTATTAGCTTAATGGTAGAGCAGGATACTTCTAATATCTGGATCCAAGTTCAAGTCTTGGATAGGAATATATTCAAATATTTGGAGATATAAAAGAATAAGCTCTTAAAACTAAAATAACTCCCATTTATATATTACTCTCAAAAGAAATAGCACGAGATAAAATAAGTATTAGAAAGAGAAAAAATTTGTATTTTTTATATTTTATTTTATTTTTTTAATGAAAAGGAGAATTCTCTTAAGTAGAGTTATAACTAGAGTTAGAAAACCTCATTTATTAATACTATCGTTATCTTTGTTAAAGAAAGTGATATACTAGGTGCTAGAATAAAGAAATATTGCTAGGTATTATTTCGAAACTGTATAAAATACAAGGAACTAGTACAATAAATGCAATAACTATAGGCAGTAGGATTGTTCAACAGAAAGTCATTAACTGATCATAACGGATACGAGGGAATGATGCTCTCACTCAAATAAATGTAAAAATCATTATACTAGACTTTAGTCCTAGACTTAAACCAGAGATTAATCCTTCTATTAAAGGATAAGATAGAAATTCAAGTTTATCAACAAAAATATAAGTATAATCAATTTCTTGGATTAGATAAACCAATGGCATAACATTTAAAAGATAACCTCCAAGGAAAAGTATACTAGTTAATATACAAATAAGCACTATACTAGCATATTCAGCTAAAAAGAAGAATACAAAAATACTAGCTGAATGTTCTGTCATAAAACCACTAACAAGTTCTGATTCAGCCTCAGCTAAATCAAAAGGAGCTCTATTAGTTTCTGCTATAGAACCTATGAAAAATATAACAAAAATAGGAAATAATGGTATTATAAATCATATAGCTCTTTGAGCTTCTATATTTACAGTTAAATTTAAACTTCCTGTTAATAATAAAACTAATAATATAACAGAACTTAAAATTAATTCATAACTAATTAATTGAGCTGTACTTCTTAATGAACCTAAAAATGCATATTTAGAATTAGCAGATCAACCAGCTAATAATATTCCATAAGTTGAAAGTGAAGAAACTGCCAACATATAAAGTATACCTAAATTAAAATCTCATATAGCTAACCCAGGACCATATGGTATAACAGCATAACCTAAAAGTGAAAAAATTAAAGTTATTACAGGTCCAAGGAAAAATAAAATAATATTAGCTTGTGTAGGTGCTACATACTCTTTTAATAATAATTTTAAAGCATCAGCAAATGCTTGTAATAAACCATAGTAACCTACTGCATTAGGACCTAATCTTCTTTGCATACTAGCCATAGTTTTTCTTTCAGCTATAGTTACAAAAGCAACAGATAATAAAGCAGGAACAGTAACCAATAAAACTTCAATAACAGAAATTAATGTAGGTAAATATAACATGTTAAAAAATAAAAAGCTTAGTTTTTTAAAATTATTAACAAATTGTATAAATTTCTAATATAGATTAAAAATAACTAGGTTAACTCCATATGTATGATATACATTTATAAATAAAATTATCATTAATATATTGTGTATTACTAAAATCAATAAGAATAAGTAGAGATATTAGCCTAAAGTTAATCTGATATAAGCACCTTATTATCTTTAGTTTACATAGAGATTCTTAAACTTAAGGAGAAACTATGTATTTTCCTTCAAAGATAGTTATCCTATTTTAACTTACAGCTTTTTTTATATTTTACTTAGACTATAAAAATTCTTATAAAAAAGAATCAAAGAATTTTAAGGGTCTATGTAACTAGGCGTTTCAGCACTTAAATTTGCGTTATAACGGATTAATGGACCTTTTCATTCAGATGGTCTTTCATAATTAAAGTCTGCATTTTCTAGTTCAACTAGAAAATTATATTTATCCCTAACCCTTTTGTTTTTCTACTAATCCTTCAATATCTCTTTTGATTATGTCTTTTCTGGCTTCAATACATAATAACGAGATTAATCTTCTTGTGATACACTGTTATGTGAACTTAAAGTAATATCACCTATAAAATATAAAACCCTTTCAGCCAAATTAACTTTCCCTGACAGAAGTTTAACATACTTTTACTCATTTATAAATACATTTAGACTAAAAATTATTTTTGCCAAAGCGCAAAGTTTACTTTAGATGTTTTTTGAAAATATTTTATCGCTAAAGCGCCAAAGGTTATAATATTAAAAAGTGCTAATTATTAAGGTTAGATGTATATCGCACAAAATAATAATCTCAATTATCTTTATAGTTTAAAAGGCAAAATGATTGGTGAACTTTATGAAAAAAGTAAAAAATAACCAGAGAATTTTTTTTGCGTTAAACCAAGATTTACTCAAAATCTGACTCTAATTTTTTATGTTTAGTTATTGTAAATTTACCTTAATCTTATTTTAAACATTTAACAAAATAAGGATTAAGATTAATATTTTTAACGCAAAAATTTTTTATATTTTTAACGCAAATTTTTATCTTTTTAAAAGTATTGTAATAAGGGTTTTTA